TCGGGCCCCTGGGATGGCAGCAGGTGCCTTTACCTACTGAGCAATCTCAGTGGCCCATGGCACTTGCGTTTGGTGGCTACTTATCAACTAGGCAAAAATTTTAAAATACTATCTTTGCCGTCATCATAACCAATTCCTCATTACTCCTTACTAATTATTACAATAATCTAAAACAGTCACTTATACGAAGCCAACTAATTTTAAGAAGTGAATCTGAGATATCACAAAAATGAATATTTTTTTTTCTTACTGGTTTTTGCTACAGAGTCTACCTATGCATACAAGGCTGTCTTCAGACTGGAAATCCTTTTGCTTTTGCTGCCTCATTGCTGGGACTGTGCATGTGCCATCACACTAGGATTTCTAAGCGTTTCCCCATGCACCAGTTGTGAGCTGGTGTCTCTGGCATGCTCTGTAGGGACAGGAAAGGGGCTGGTCAGTGAATTAACACTTTGAGGACTAGAAGTGATAGTGTGTGCTCCAGTTCCCATGAAGACACTAAAATGATGTGGTGGTTTCATTAGGAGTTCTGGGTGAAAAGGGATAGGACGTAATGGAATACAAAATGGAGCTGAAATGGTATTGGAATGGGTGGGCAGTGAATACAATGCACTCAACTAATTCTACTTGTTTCTCACCAAACAATGACATTGATATCTAGAATGCCGCAGGATGTGTCCTTTCAATAATCTATTTGCGGTGATACTTGGCCAAAATTTGAAAACAGATAAATGAAGAATTTATACAGTGAGAAGAAAAACTCTCAGCGTTCACATTTACCAGTTGTCCAATATGTACAACTCTCATTTATTATATAATGGAGATTATTTCATTAATTCCCAGTGAGAAATTCATGGGCTAGCTTCATCTTGAACCGGGCCAAATGCTCATCACAAAGGAGCATTATGTGACATATCTGAACTTATGCATCCCAATATCTCATGCATTTACAATAGTTACTTTATGCGTGATCTTCAGAGCAATACAGCTGATCCCTTTGTATCCACCCTGCTGATTTCTTGATGCTTTGGGAGAAATCTTAACTCTGTTTCCACGATTGCATCTCAAGCCATCATTGCTAAAGTAATTGTTTCTAAAATAAAGCAAAGTCTTAGAAAATCTAAAGGAAAACGGCAAGAAGCAAAGTATTCTGGGATGTAGAGCAGTCACTCTTCATTTTGTGGCCCATGTATTTCTATTTTTTTCCTAATTTTTGCCTTCTTGACTATTTTATACAGTCTGTCTAGTTTTCTTTTATGAATCTTTTGCCTGAGTGCAAACTT